CCCTCTCCAATACCTCTTTACAGGAGCTGCTGCCAGTGGAGGAGCCTGTGGGGCCACGTGCCCCTCCCCACTCAGGCTCGCTTTCCTCTCTTGACTGCCTCTGCCTTCCTGCAGGCAGGGGCCATCAGACCTGCTCCCTCGGGCTTTGCAGGCACCATGCCCCCTGCCTGGTTCCCCTGAGCAACAGGGAGTCTGGGCTGCCCTCCTGGCTCCCAGCACCTCATTTCCCTCTTTGCATCCTCCATAAAGCACTCTGTGCCAAGGATGTGAACCCCAGCACTGCCCAGGCGGTCTTGTTTGCCCTGGCACACTGTGATTTCAAAGGTTTTGCTGCAGAGAGGTTTAGCAGTGAGCTGCAGGGCTCCTACTGCGATGGCGTGGGGCTCTGAGGTGCGGGCCAGTACCGTGGTGGGGCACTGGCATCCATACCGGAGGCTGCACAGAGATGGGATCTTGCACCCCTGTCCTCCTGGTCTCCCCTGCACCCAGGGGTGAGTCTCCCACCCCCTTGCCGGGCGAATGCTGAGGGCAGCGATGCTGCTGTGGGTGCCGGCCAGTGCCATAGTAAGGATGTTCTACCTCACACGGGATACCCAGGAGCGGGGCGAAGGGGGGACCTCCCCTCCATGCTGGGCGCTGCATTGGCACATGGTGGTGCCAGCCCACAGGACTCACCCCTCCTCGCCCACCTGCTCTACGCAGACCCTGTACACCCTGTCCAGCCCCATAGCACAACCTGGTCATGCTTAGCGTCACCCCTGCTTGGCACATGCGGTACCCCAGTGGCAGCTAGCAGCACCTGCTCCAGACCCCGCTGCCCTGCGGCGGGAGGCAGTGATGGACAGGCAGCGATGCTCATGCTGGAAAGTAAAGCACCCTGCGTTGCATCAAGCCTCCCTTGTGCCCGTCAGCTCGCTCGGGTGTGCAGCAGCCGGCAGAGCGTGGCAGTGGGCGGCAGGACTTGTAAAGAGCCCCAGTGCTGCCTGTGTCTTGCTGCAGAGCATCCCCTTCCCCAGGGATTTGGAGGAGGGGGCCGGGCACCAGCAATGCCACCTTGCGTGGTGGCATCCGAAACAGTGGCTCGGTACAGCCTGGCGTTGGAGGGAAGGGGCTGGGCTGGGAGTGCGGCATGCTCTGGGGTCCTGGTGCTTTGTCGTTGGGTCATTGTAAAATAACGATGTACATAACGTGGCCGCGTTGGCGAATGGGTGCTCTCGAGTGCAATAAAGGGAGAAGGACTGGCCTGTTCCCTGGAGCTGTGATTCCTGCGGGAAAGATGCACCCAAGCACTAGTAAGATGGGGCAGCTTTGTGGTCGACGTAAGGGGGCATCTTCAAATAATGGCTTTAGCCCCAGTCCATGCCCTGTGGGGAGAAGAGGGTGGCAGGGGTTGGCCCTAAGGCTGGTGCTGGGAGGGGGCTCGGCTTGCGAGATCTGCAGTGACGCTGGCTATGGCGGCTGCAGCGTGAGCAAGGCACCTTGTGCCACGCAGGACATCCATGTTTAGGGGCCAGAGGGGGGCCAATACCTTTGCAGGGGGTTTTCCATTATTTATTTGGGAGCAGTTCCCTTGTGTCTGTGGGGCCAGCACCGACGGGTGCTGGTTGCAAGGTACGCCCAGCCATCCATCATCACGGGAGCGGAGAAGACCAAATCCACAGGTCTCTGCTGGGTTTTTTTTTTCTACCTTTGGGCCCAGGCCTTGCAGAGCCCGGTGATTCCAGGCCCTCGCTCTGGAGCAGGCAGCTGCCTGCACGTTGTTAGATTGTTGCTGCGCAGGACGTGTGGTTATAGTGCCCACAGCAGTGCGTCAGGGACAGCACGCTCTCCGCCAGGCTGGCCCAGGCTCCTGTGAAGGACAGCGTCCCATTCTCAAGCGTGGTGCTAGAAGGAGAGAAGCATGGTCAGGATGAGCTGCTGCCCCACCGTCTCAGTCCCTGGCAGGACCGTATGGCTCTGGGGCCCTCACACTCACCTGGCAAAGAGCTGCTTGCAGCACGTGTACATGGTGTAGCTGGTGGAGCTGAAGTTGGCCGTGCTGAGGAAGGTCACGCAGTCACCCACCTCCGTTGGCACATAAAGAAGACCTGGGGGACAGGGTCTCCTGGGTGGGGCTCTTGAGGGACCATGTGTCTAAATCCCATCTGCTGAGCACACTTGCAGATCCTGTACCCCAGCCCTGCTCGCGGATCCCATACCCTGACTATGCTTGCAAATCCTGTACCTGGGGCTGTGCTTGCAGGTCCCATGTGTCATCCCACCTCACCCCCCAGATAGTGGTGCAGCGGTGACGCCAGGGAACTCCTTGCAGTGCCCCAAAAGCTGCCCTCGAAACGTCCCCATCCCAGCCCGGATGAGGGGCCCCAGCAGAGCTCTTGGGCTTAGGCAGCCCCTGACAAAACCCGAGGGGAGAGCAGAGGGTTTGGAGGCCCTGGCAGACCCATGAGGAGAACAGGCCAGCCAGCTCCATCCCTGCACCTGCATTGCTAGGGGTCTTCAGCCCTTTGCCTGTCCCTCCCCAGTTCTTTCTGGCCCCCCTGGCAGTGGGCAGGGACCTACCTGCCAGGCAGGCATTGAGCAAGGAGACGCAGATGCCGGTGAGCAGGGCTCGCAGCACGATGGAGGCTAATTCACCCTTGCGCTCGGGTACCATGGAGGCTGCAGGGATGGAGACCGGGGTGAGTCAGATCCTTGCTCTGGCTCTGTCCCAGGCTGGGAACAGATTTGTCCCAGGTCTTCAGCTGGATCTGCCAAATAGTGCCCTGCCCACCCCCATCCCTGCTGTCTGGGGGACATGGGGATGTGGAGCGCTGTGCCCACCCTGCATCCTATCACCTCATGGATCCTGTTTCTTATCTGTGTGCTGGCACAGACCAAACATGGAGTCTTGAGGGCAACAAATTCCTCCTGCCCCAGCTGAACCCTTGCTCCCTGGGCAGAGGATGCCCCTGCATCCTGCCCAGGCACCCAGGCCACGTCACACTCACCCAGGCCTCCCAGCATGATCCCGATGGAGCTGAGGTTGGCGAATCCGCAGAGGGCGAAGGTGGTAATGTTCTCGGCTCGCTCCTGGGGGGCACAGGGGCAGGGGACAGTCACCTCTGCCCAGGAGCAGCCCCAGAGCACCCAGAGCTGAGCACCGTGTCGCAGCTCCCAGCCCAGCCAGACGTGATGGAGGTAAGTCCCCTGCCCTAATTCTTTCTCCTTCAGCTTTTTTTGGGAGCAGGGATGCAGGTGGTAGGCAGCTTGCCCAGGGAGAGGCTGGGATGGGGGGACAGGGAGCCCTGTAGCACCATGATCTGCCCCACCAAGGATCAGGATAAATGAGAAAGGGCTTCACTGACTCCTTCAGGACGATCCTGTACCAGCAATTAGTCAACATCCAACTCTAGTTGGCCACAGATGCCCTCCCACCCCTGACCATCATCCCCCTGCCTGCCCACCACCCATCTGTCTGGCCGGGTCACATGCCCCGTTTTGGGTGGCTCCATCCCTGCCCTGTGCCCGGCGGGGTGGCAGGTGCCTCACAGATATCCACTGCTTCTTGCTCCCGTCCCCCTCCTCCAGGCCCGACAGACGGTTCTTCTTGTACATGGCCAGCTGCTGGTACGCCACAAACTCGTTCAGGAAGATCTTCATCCCCAAGAGCTCGGCCACCAGTGGCGAGTCTGCCCAGTCTGCCCCCATGAGAAAGGCCAAGGGCATGAGGACGTAGGAGCAGATCACCTGGGAAAAGCATCCCAGAAGGGAACAACTCAGAGCTGACCATCCGCGCTGCCCCTGGCTCGGACACCTCCTGCCAGCATTTGCCAAACACCCGGCAAGGGTCTCGGCAGCCTACCAAGGCGGTGGGCAAGGGTGGGGAGAGGTGGGGGATGC